AGAATACATAATACATTGGTATAGTGACTTAGTTCATTTTAGAGGATTAAAATCCTTCCTTTTACAAATAAAAAAATAGAAATTATTAGGCAATATAATACAAATGTTTAGGATTTCAAATAAATTAAATTAATATAATTAGTTAATAGTTACGTATTTAGGTATTGAGAAATAATAATAATAATAATATTGATACAAAATTTAAAATTACCATAAAAATTATGTGTATACATTAATTTTGGAGAATAAAAATTAAGTAAGTAAATACATATAATATTTTAGATGAATAATTATTTATTTAATTAAGTTTTAAATATTTATCAAATTTTTATTACTATTAGTATCTGGTGGTAAACTTTTTGTAATAGGATGTTTGGCATAAATAACCACAGAACACGAAACAATACATACAGCTGACACAGTCTGTAAAGTGATTGGGTATCCTAGAATTACCCATGATAATACTGCAATAAGGACTAGTTCAATTGCTGTGGCAAAAACCTTAATGATTGAATTTAAACTGTGTAGTAGTAAACTAGTGACAACACCATACATGGCATTATTCATTACAATATACATGGCCTAAAAAAGCAATTGTTTAAATAAATTAAAAGTATGAAAAATGTACAATAATATAATAAATCTCATACCATATAGTTTTTAAAAATGTTTGTTACAGAGGTATCACTTTCTGTTTCATTATGTTTAAATGTTATCCACAGTAATATATTACAAAGTATTGAATCAGTGTACATATATATGTTTTGCACATAAACATTAACATTTACACCCTGGCCTTTTTTGAGTAAATATTCATTGTAGACACCAGCTAAACACGAGCAAAGTATTTGAGTCAACATCAACAATATACTGATAAAAAAACCATAAGACTGTTGTTGAATATTGCCCTCCATTTTTAACTCTTTTATCATGCATCCAATCGTTAAAAGGACTAAAGATAGCCATTGAATTTTGCTGAGATCCTTTTTAAACAAACATTGATATACAATACCAGTAAGTATGACCCGTAGCTGAAGAAGAATAAAATATGTAGTCGGGTCGAATATTGATAGGTTCACAAATGCCAAATTATTATACAGGCAGTAGAGAAGTGCCGGTACCATGTAGAGAAAGAGTACTGATAATAAAATATCCAAATATACATACATAAGTATTAAAGTATGCATATAAATTTAAAAAACAAAATATTTTAATTTAAATCTGTAAGTAGGTACTACTGACCTGTATAGTTTTCTCTAGTCTGATCGATAATGTTTTTAAAGGGATGGCTGTAAAGAAAAATAAATACTAATTAAATTGGGAATAACTGATACTAGAATTGCTACTCAATATCTGCAAATTTAGGTGGTAAATGGAGGAACTCGTTTTTTTCAAAACCACTATTAGAACCATAATGATAAAAAAAAAAATCCATAAGTGTAGATCCATTAGCAAGATATTTAAAATCAGTTAGTGTTATTAGGTAGTTTTATAATAATATCAATTCGTGATTATTGCCAAAAACATTGTTTCTACTACTATCTAATACAAAGAAATTTTAAGTACAATAGAAAATATCATAAAATTTAATWATTTATTATTTTCATTCAATTTAAATAGATTTTTTAGGGATTTTAACATTAAATGTGATTAACTATCCTACAGAACATAATATAATAAACTAGTTTATTATATCATGCTGCAGAGTAGGTACCTGGAAATATTAACTACTCTATTTTTTCAATAGATTTTCATATTATAGATAAATCATTTACAATAAACCTGTTACTATAAATGACAATGAATTATAATTAAACTTACCTAACTGAAAACCTGTTTGTTAAACCAATTTTAAAACTATTAATAATATTAATCAATTGTTATTTTTTTTTTTTAAGTAAATATAAATTATATTAGGTATTTTAAAAATTTTACTTACTCTTTACAAAACAAAAAAAGGGATATAACTAATTTTGTAACTTCGGTTAAAATAATTACTGAGACAACGTTATAGTTATAAGTGCCTTTATCTTGAGATAATTTTACTAATAATCCTGCAAAATAAAAA